TTCTTTGCCTCCATTTCAGTTTTCAAGTCTTGAACTGTTTCCATTATCTGTTTGATTGTTTTTCCTTGGTTTCCTAGGGTATCATTCACTGATTTATTCAATTCTTCAAACTTTTTGTTATACTTCTCATCCATTTCTATAAGGGCATTTTTACATGCTGTTTAAGGGCGTCAATCACTTTCATAAAGTCAATTTTTTCTACTTCTTCTTGATTAAGGTGTTCCTGTCCTCCTGGTGTGAGGTCGCTGGGTTCTGGTGGTTTCATGTTGTTCTTCAGATTGTTGGGTGAATTCTTGCATTGGCGCCTGCCCATCTCTTCCTCCGAATGCTTCCCTATGTATCTTCTTTTACAGGATCAGGTCTCCTTGCTTACTGATGTACCTTCCCAATGATGGCTCTCCCCAGTGATGGCTCTCCTGGTGCTGAGATCAGATCTCTGTGCTGGTTGGGTAGCTCGTAAACAAAGTGCCTACCTTGCTTGCTATAGGCAGGCTATTGAAACAAAGGAGCTTCCACCCGCTAGGTTGCCCTCGGGATTCGGCCCCAGCGCCCCAAGAGGGAAGGGAGGCAGAAAGGGGGGAGGGTTCTGGATGAAATCTGGGTGGGGTAGGAAGAGAGAGGCAGTATGCTGGGAGTATAGGCCCAGCAGGAAGCCCAGGAAGTATAGGGAGGAACAGGAAAGTCTGAGTTCCCTGTCCCTGGCTGCTGCCGTGGGTCCCAAACTCACCCCAGTGATGGCTCTCCTGGTCAGAAATTCTTATTAAAAAAAAAAAAACATTTCACTGGGACTGGCTGACAGTTTCAGAAGTTTAATCCATTATCATTATAGCAAGAAGTGTGGCAGCATGCAGGCAGAGGCAGTATTGGAAAAGGAACTAAGAGATTCTTCATCTTGATCTGCAGGCAGCAGAGGACAATGTGCATTGTTACCCTGGGCATATTAAGCATATAATGATCAGAGCATACCCACACAACAATACACATCTTCCAGCAAGACCACAGCTCCTATTAGTGCCACTAACTGTGGGCCAAGCAGTCAACAACATGAAAGTATGGGAGCCATATCTACTCAAACCAAAAAGAGGCTAAACTATTATTCGTTGTTGGTTAAGAAGAGTTACTGAGTTTGAATATGATGCCAGGCTTTTCCATACATGTAATATTATTTGACTATGCTTCACTCCACAGTACCTTATCTTATTCTCCCTTCAAAGCCTGGTGTGATCAACTGAGTCTTGCCCAGAGGCCTTCATGTATGGAAAAGGAATATAATTCCTTTGCAAAAACAAAAACATGCTTAGCAAAGCCAATAATAGCCTGGGGCCAGTTCTTTGGGAACTATTCCCTAAAGCCCAGATGTATATAGAGAGATCCCAAGAACCCAGCTGCCACTGTAGGGGGCAATGATTATCAGTCTCAAGGCTGCTGTGTGCTCAGTCAGAGATAATCTTATATACCCTGTGTTCCCTTGTACAACACTGGATCTTGAGATACCCTGTGTTTCCTTGTGAAACATTATTTGATTAGCTTTTTGTTAACTTCTTCCTCATTTCCCCTCAGAAATACTATATAAGAGGCTGTACTTCTTAATAACATTACAATAAGACAAATCTTTTGCAAGAACTCCTAATCTCAAACTTTCTTTTAGTTTCTAACTTCTCCTGTTTATCTTCTGATCTCTTGGTCTTTTCTCCCAGGATCCTGACATTGAAGAATGATCTGCCAATCCAGGTCATCTTTCTCCTCATTTTCCTGAACTTAATGCAATAGAAACTTTAATAATTACAAAGAATCATTGCAATAAAAAACAATTCTTTGAAACATAAACCAAGGTTGACAAACATCCAATTTAAACAAAAGATAAGGAAGGTTCAAAAAATATTAAGTAATCAATGAATGTAAGCAAAGTGAGATAGTTCATTTAATAAGTTTATATTAAAAATGAAATCTAGGGCCATATGGCACCTGGTGTTTGACAGTAGCCCTCCTCAATCCATAGACAGCACATAAAATAAAAACTTGATGCAGCAGATGCCATCTTAAACCATACATAAACTTGAGATCTTGACACTTCAGCATTCTATTTCAAGGAGAATGCAAGAATAGCTGACACTCTGAATTCTGAGCTTATCTAACACATACAGGCTTGGATATCACCTTGCCATCACACAGGGTACCAAGATTTTCCTATTTCAATGGTAAGTGGGCACACATATGTATTTCCTAGTTACTCTAACTCTCCAAGAGTTTCTTTAGCTTGCTTATCATCTTACACCTTAAAGGAGGTAAGCAAAATTACCTTTGAAAATTAATCCTGGCATCTTTCTCCACACCTGAGCTCCCCACCTATGGAGAGAGCAGGCTGAGCAATAACTGATGTGTGAGAAGTGGAGGACTAGAATGACAAGACCTCTCCTGGAAGTTTCTGGATTACAATCCATACAAATCTAATGTGTGGAAGAAAAAGGACCCCTTAGCATCCCAAGACGAAATTCTCAGAACAAATAAGGTTTATTTGCCCAACAGGGACAGAGGGCAGTGAAAAAGAGACAAAGACAGGAGATAGAGAACAAGGGGGAAGTGAAAAGGAACAAAAGAAAGGGACAGGGTTATTTTTCCTGGAGGGACCAAGACTGCCTCCAGATAGAGAGGAGACAAATGTGGCATATAGGAAAATGGCAGCTTATAAAGTACATACAAAACCTCACATTATAATGAGATGTTTAATTTTAACTGTTAAAGTTAATTTGGTGAGCCAAAGGAAACGTTTCATTTCTTGATTCAATACTTTGATAGCTGTATGTTGGTAATCATCCTCAGGAGGAGAAAGAATCCAATAAGGGAATAAACCTTGGTGACCAACTTCAGGAGTGTAGTCTAATGGTTTTTAACAAAGAGAGGGAATTGGAGACAAGGACAAGGCCTACCAGAGCCATGCTCACCATGTTCCAGCTATCCAGAGTCCCTTCAACAGGAACCCAAGACTTCTGGAAAAACCAATACAAAATCTGCTCTCTGGTGATATAGTTAAAATTATATCAAATAAATCTGTACCACCTATTCACACGTGACTTCTTCATAAATTTATGCCTTGAATTTTTAAGAAGTTCTCTCTGTATGCAAGGGAAGACTTATCATATCCTACAGTGTTTGGAGAAGACCCCTTGTTCGTTTTTGGCTACCCAGACCCAAAATAATCACTCAGAAACTATATTATTTGTAATACTGTTTGCCAATAGCTTGAGCATATTGCTCCCTATCCCTTACATCTAGAATTAACCCATTTCCATTATTTTATATTTTACAATGAAGCTGTGGCCTATCTGCAAGGTTCCAGTTGGCAGCTCACTTCTTTCCCTTCTGGTGGCTACATGGTATCTCATGACTCTGCCTTTTTTTCTCCCAGCATTCAGTTTAGTTTTCCCCACCTAGCTTTACTCTGTCCTATCACAGGCCAAGGCAGTTTCTTTATTCATTAACCAATAAAAGCAACACATAGACAGAAGGTCTTCTCATACTATTTTCCCTTTTCTGTTTAAATAAAAAGGAAATTCTTAACTTTAACTTAGTAAAATTACATATAACAAAACATGTGTTAAGCAAGAATTATAGTTACAATATTTATATCTACTTTATGCTTTATCATAACTAAGGAAAACTATAACTACATATTTTACCCCACGAGGATATGATTTTACCTAAGTTACAGGACGTACATAGTAAGCAAGTTTTAAAACTGTAAAATTGACAGAGACATCTTGCTGCCTGGACAGTCACCCAAAGTTCTCTACCGTTGGGGCATCCGCCTTTAGTCTACAGGCCCATAGTGCATGGCAGAGTTTTCCAATAAGCAGGAAATTTAAAAGACAGTTTTGCCTAGATTGACAGTTTGTCAGTCACTTTTTTGTATGTCCTACAGAATATCTGGTAGACACTTTCATGAAGCAGAGACCCTGAAGGACTGACTTACCTTCTTTAGGCAGCTTTAGTATTCATTTTTTTTTCAGTTCTGTTGTCCAGTATATAATGCATAACACTAAGCATTCTAGTGACTTAACTAAATGGCTAACAAACTCCAAAAGAGCCTCCTGATATCCATCCTCCTCTTGAAGTACATTGATGCTGCCAGGAGCAGATGTGTGTCATTGTCATGAAAAGTCTAAATTCTTAAAACATTGTGAAGGTCTCTGAAAGATTTGTAGAATACCTATCTAACTGAAATATATCTCTATATATCTAGAAAACATAACTAACATGACTATAAGATTGACTATTATAGATGATTATCTATTAACCTGTAATTCTAAATTATACATTACATTTGTAAATGAGATGCACAAACAATACCTTAATCAAGAGCAGAAATATACATATAACAAAACTGACCTTAAATTTGTATCAATAAACCAAGATCCTTACCAATGCAAATCTCTATAGCATATCTCCTTTTAAATGTAAACAAGCATTTATAAACAATCATTTAAAGAATTTGGGCATAGTTCCCTAGACCTAAGGTGACAAGTAAGGGGAATGAAGAATAATAAACTTCTGAATCTTAGCTCAACTATGGAAAACTTTTTAGTTGGAGTTCTCTGAGTCACAAGGGAGGTGAAATTTTATGGTATTCCAGAGACAAAGAGAAATTATTTAAATTTCCATATTTTCATATTAAGAGCAGGTTAGAAAGCAAAGGATAAAAGAGAACAAATCTTATTTAGAGAAACTGGAACTGGATCCATCTTCTTAATCTAAGAACATTCTATTCACATACAGGCAGAAAAAAACTCATATCTTATTCACTACAATCTAATTTGATGTTCCAACTGAATACTGACCTTTGTTTCTGAAGAATAAAAAAGATCACAATGGAAGGGGTTCCCGACATATGACAAATTTAGCTGGGTGGAGCTGCCCATTTGTTTCATTGTGTTCCTGCTATAAATAAAAGGAGAGATCTAGGTTCCAGATGGTCAAGACTCAGGAGTGTCCTCTCTTGCAGCATGCCTTCTCTTCAAGTTTTCTACCAGCCCAGGGCTGTTATGCGTTTCCTGATTGTGTGCTTAATTCTGGAGACTGCCCATGGCCAGATCACTTGGTAAGGCACCCCCTTTTCCATACCACCTTCCTAGAGCTATGTTCCTTCTTGGTGGGGACACATATTGGATTCTCACTCACTATTTGTGGCTGAGTTTCACTTTTCTAAACTCTGAAGCATTTTGTACCTTCACAAGCCTATTCCTTATACCAAATGACTAGGTAACAAAAGTTTCTGTTCAAACTGATTTTTCTGCCTAGGTTTACAGTCTCCTCAATTTAATCACCATGAGAAGTATCGGCAGAGAGGTGAGCCTTGACTGTATTTTGGGGATAAGCTATGGATAGTGTATATTTCATCTCTAATTTTAAACCTGGTATATAGATACAAAGGAATGCACTTTCAAGACTCCCCTGGTGACAGAGTGGATGTCTTGACTCAAATAACAACAAAAACAAAACGAATCAATTACTCACAGAACAATTATCTAAATTGTACAGTAAAAGTCAACATCTTCATCAACTCCAATATGCAGGGTGTTTTGGACCACAACTGAATCAAGTTTGTTTAAACAAAAGAAAACGCTGCAGAAACTTGATTGTATACCACTTATATACCGGTTATACACCTTCTATACTACCACAAGGTTTCTATATTATCTAACTCTGTGGCTGAAGGGGAAAGAAGTACCAGATTCTAATTCCTGTAAGGAGAAAATGTATACAAAGGCTCCTAACCCTTTTCATAAGAGGAAGCCTTTAATTACAGAAAGGAATCAGAATCCACTAACAGTATACAGAAGCATATGTGAAAAAAGACTCTACCAGATGGTAATGAATCAGTGTTGGTTTAGGTAGTGATATTTACCTTCTAAGGAATGCAGAGCACTGGGCAACATAGGAAATGAGGCCAAGGGCATTTGAGTTACAAATTGAAATTTCGTCAGCTAGAACTGTACCTGCTCCCTACTTCACACCTAAGCAGCAGCAAATTGAAGGAAAATGGTGAGGTACATCAATGGTTACTATGAAGCTGGGTTGATCTACAAGATTGAATAAGGAGAACCTGAAAGTTTCAAATCCTTCTGCTACTTCAGCTTTTGGAAGGTAGAGAGATTTGGGGAGGTTTAGACAATTGTATAAAGAAAAGGGAAACATGAGTGCACTGAGGTAAACTGTGAAATTATAAAGTTCCACCGTGGGATGATAATTAGGAACAGACAAGGAGAAAGAAGCTTGGCCAGCCCTGGCATCCACATTCAAGAGGGTGTCAAGGACTGTGACTTGTTTTTCTGGCCTCCATCATCTCATCCTGTTAGATACGTGTGTTGGCTAGAAACATGGAATACTTTGAGATAAGTCAGATACAGAGAAGCCTTACAGAGTAAAGCGTTAAGCTTTACAGGTGTCTCCTAAGCAGTTTGTCCTGCGGGCTCTCTCTGCCTGTCCATAAAGGACACCTGAGTATTTGACTTTAATGTGATTCTTTGTTTCTACATTTTCTGCTCTTACAGGCGTAATCTACTTTCACTAAACATGAAAATTTCTCCAATGAAAAATGCAAATCAATTTGAAGTGAAACTCACAATTACAAACAATGAAAATAAATGTATGGCGGTAAGTGAATAATTGAGAGTTAGCACAAAAAAGTATTATATAGTAAAGAAGTTTCAGTGAGCTAATATTGTGCTAAATGCTGCCCTTTGAATGTTTCTGTATATGTGGATTTGAAACTCAGAGAGCTTGTGTTAGAAATGTATGTGTTAGAAATTCCTAATGTAAAGTAATAAGGTAGTGAATGAGGTTGGTGAGTGAGGAATTGTAGCTGTGGATAAAGGTCTTTCACAATGAAACAAGAAGAACGTTTAAGCGGAAAGAAAAACAATTGGAAACCTAAAATTCAAGGAAAATCACAATGAGACAAAGACAAATAGGACTGGCAGTGAACAGGAAACACTATTGGTCTTATGGCCCTACCTCCTCTCTCCCCTGACTCCACATCATACAGCAATGGTGGAGAGTCAAGAAGATGCAGATCAATATACTTTGGAAGGAAGGGGAACTATAGGAGAAAGGTGACTCTGCTGTTCTTCAGGGTGAGGGACTATTTATACACAATATGCACAGACACACAATGTCTCCTCCTTCATTCTTGGGTCTACTGTTTTCTTCAATTGTTCCAAAATGTTCACCTTCTTCTCACTGTCTTTAACAATTCCTTAACATTCTCCTTGGTCTTTTTGAAAATGTTCAAACAAAATGAAAGTTCAAGGGCAGGGGATATGGTTCAATGGTTAAGAGCACTTGCTGCTTTTTGGAGGACCCCAGATGGGTCTTGTTCTAGGGCATCTAACACCATGGCTTCGTGTGTTTGTGAACACCAGACCACACACACACACACACACACACACACACACACCACATTCACATATGCTCACAAAACACATCCATATATACACACAATATATGTATGTAATTTTTTTTAAAAAAAAAAACTTAACTAAAAATTATTTCAAAAAGAGAAAGGAAACTTTTAGTTATACCAAAACCCATAATAGAAATACAGGGTAAAAGTCCCTGGTAGTTACCCGGATTAAAAAATAAGTGCTAGAAATGCTATTTGATCTGGAATTGGGCAGATATGCTGATTGTCTCTACTTAGTTTTGAGCACAGCAGATGGGTTAAGTCAAGTACAAGAATTCATTCATTTTATATAACCATTGATTAAAAGTGTAATATCTTTTGGATGAAAGAAAAAAGAAATCTAACGTAGTCAGACAAGAATTCTCAACCTGGGACATTTTCTCTTTGTGCAATGAACACGTTATTTTAAGTTAAAAACGGTATCCTTCATTAAGATAGTACAAAGATTCATGACCTCATGCAAGGAATCCAGGTATCGGTACTATCATTTCCCAGTGATAGAAAGAAAAATCAGTGTGGCAGGAACTCTGTCACAAAACCGGAACACCAAAGTTAGAGAGCTGGGATTATAAACTCCATTTGTTTGCCAGTCTTTGTCATACATCAGAGTAGAGAACCTGTGCCTCCTGCTTTAATACCTCTTGTTTCTGGGGAGGTTTGCACCATTTTCTTTGACTAAGATTTAGAGATCTTCAGCCTCAGGCAGGTGAAAAAGAACTAATGCCCTCAACACAATGCAACAATATTCTTTGGCCCTCTTATTTCTAAAATAAAGGTCTTAATAAATCTACCCTAAACCAGCTGATGAGCTAAACAAAACCCAGATACATGCACTCAATCACACATACACACACACACACACACACACACACACACACAGTCACTCACACACAGTTCCACTGCATTAGATGGAAAATGCAATAGACAACGTGTACAAACACATTTAAACTTCAGTCATTCACTATGCCAGAGAAAACATCAGTAGCTTTCTTTCTTACACTCAGTAGGGGCTAAAGTTGAACCTGACACATAAACAACAGAGAACTTGCTAAGTCTCAAGCATATCCTGATAGTGAAGAAGAAACACTTGGTAGTCCATGCATATACTGCCCTGGCAATGCTCATTTTGCTTCGTGGTCAATCTCATGCTGCCGTCTCTGTTTTGACACTCTTTAACCCTTCCCCCACTCACTTTGCTTCAGGTAAGAGCCAGTACTAAGGACAATTCATACATCACGTACCTTAGTACTCATGCAACATACACGGCTTGCATATGTGCCACAGACGACTTCTTCTGGAAAATCCAAGTCTCTGGTAAGTGGGAACATTTCCTCTCTGCTCATGAAGGTCAGAGAGTACTGAAGGTCAGGATGTATCAGAGTATTCAAAAATAAATAAATAAAAGAATCAATGTGACAGCAGGCAGAAAAGGGGAAAATGGATGTAATACTGACAAGATACCAAGTTGACAGGATATGAGAGGACAGAAAGAGCCGAAACTAAGGGAAGGGAGTTCAAACAGCTACTGTACCATGTGTATAGAAAGTGGAATCAGTATGTTAAGCAGGGAGGGGTGGGGATGAAGCTATGTGGAGTTCATGAGGTAACAGATCTGCTTTTCTTTCTGTAGAAAGCACTTTCCTACAAGCAAGGGCAGAAGTTGTGCCAGCTAAGGGCATATGTCCTGAAGGTGAGAGAATACACCGAGTAACCACCTACCAGGGGAATATTATTCAAGAAATCCATGTAACACCGTAAACTGGAAGGTCTTTCATTGATCATGGTCACCAAACTTCCCAGTGGGAAAAGTTTTCCTTTCTTGTGTGTATATATGCAGCAAAATAAAAGAAGGTGAAATGAACTCTGTGTTCAAACAGCTATGTAAAAATAAACTTCTGCAACTTCGCATTGGACTATCTGTATCTTTCTTCCAAAAATGACTGCTCTATCTGCCCAAATAGTCAAAGATTTCTTTAACACTGTTTTCCCAGGACACACACACACACACATACACACACATACTTACACACATACATACATACATACATACATACATACATACACACACATACACACACACACACACACACACACACAAAATGATGTATTAAGCGTTCAAATCCTAGTGAGTAAGGAAAATACTGGGTCTCACCACTTGGCATAAAGAGAGCAGGCCCAAAGTCAGAATGAGCAACTCTTCCCAGAGTAACACTGAAATCTCAAAGCAGAACTAACAAAAGTTTCAAGTTATTCCACCATCACAGTTCAGCTCCATCCAGCTGTCACTCTGACGAGCTGACCTGTACTTTTCTTCTCTTCCACTACTGGCCAGAAAATGACTCAGAGTTCATGGTGCATTTGGAAGTCCAGGCATCTTGGGTATTGTGACTTTGACTTTCCTGCAAAAAGTAAACTTTGAGGAGCTGAGCAATGGCAAATGTGAGTGTGAAACAAAGGCATATCAGAAACATGCAGCACAACTGGGGGAGAATATACGGCGGCAAAGCTTTGGGATAACAGTCTGCCATTACTGTCAAATACTTTATATACTTAACCTTCCAGGATGCTCACAATTGGAAGTGATGATGACAGATGGCACTTCCACACTCTGTTTCCTGGGCCAACATATTCTCTCTCAAGGACACAGTGCTGCTTAACAGCCATGCTTCCAAAATATATGTCACACATTCCAGAACCCTTATTCCCTTTCCTTCAGCCATTGCCTAGGGGAGAAAGGGATCCAGGTCACAGAAAGTACACAGAGAACTTTATATAGTAGCACTGAGAGTGGAAACAAACATAAGCAATATTGGGGAAAGGGAGTCTATAGCTGAAACATGCACAAACCCACCCAGATCCTTATCCACTTTCTCACATTCACACACTACTTTCTCCTTTCTCTGCCATCCCATATCCCCCTCATACCCAACCTCATGACTGCCAGGAAACGATGAAAGATAGATAGATAGATAGATAGATAGATAGATAGATAGATAGCTGATGGATGGAGGGATAGAAGGAGAGATAGATAGATAGATAGATAGATAGATAGATAGGTGATAGATAGATACATAGATAATAGATAGATAGATAGATAGATAGATAGATAGATGATAGATTAGTGAAAGATAGATAGATAGATAGATAGATAGATAGATAGACGATAGATAGATTGGTGATACATAGATAGATAGATACATAGATAATAGATAGATAGATAGATAGATAGATAGATAGATAGATAGATAGATAGATAGATAGATGAGAAGAGATAAAGATCTATGACCACAGGAAAATGGAAGTAGAACTTTGTAACCTAAGTACAGACAAAGACAAAAGGACAATATGGGCAGATAGGAGCTCCACTTTACCTCAGAGACTCAGTCAATCAAAAAAAGCCCAGCACAGGCTTGCTAATCTACCCCCAAACTGCCAGCTATAGGGAAATGAGAAAGAGGAATTTCAGTGCCTCAAAAAAAAAAAAACATTGCCCTAACTTGCTTGAATTTTTAGACTACTTCCCCAACACCTTTAAGAAGTTATATGTACATAACAAAAAAGGAAATATAGGTTAGGGATATAGTGCTGTGGAGGAGTGGTTGTCTGGCATTTGGGAGGACCTAAATTCAATCACCAGTGCAAAAAAAGGGAAATAAAATATTTTTAAAATGAAGTAGAAAAAATTAGCTCCCAGTGGGCAGAAACATCCAGATTGTGTATGAAATATTTCACATTATGGATCTTTTTTATTTTTACCTTTTTTTAAATTTTTTATTTCATTATTATTAGTGTTTAATTTTTCTTTAACTATAGAGCTGTTTAACTTACATCTGAATGAAAAAGATATATGTTTCTCTTTTCTTTATCTAAAAGTAATATACTTTATATTAATTTTTATATCTCTATCACATACACATTTCTTGTTATTCTTTCTTCACTACTTTACCTCTATTTAATTCCCTCCTAACTTTACTAATTATTGATGAAACTAGACCTAAGAAAAACATATATAAACACATTTTATTCAACAAGCACTTCAGAGTTTCTGAAATTTGTAACAGACAAAAGTGTAGTACGCTTCTCCTTCAACTAACAACAGAACTGTTTTTAAACAATTGTGTCTGCTACTGGTTTTGCTCTAGAATATAAATTGAAGAGAAGATAGTATATCAGATTCAAAGTAAAATAAAACAAACAAACAAAAGAATTGTTAAAATGAGAAAAAAAAATGCCAACTCTGATAGAGTCAGAAAAATCGGAATAACTTCAGATCTGTTATCAGTATCCCTAAAAGTAAGGAAAGCATGAAGTTTCTAATTTCAAGAGTGAAAATAAGTAACTGTCCACTGACTTTATTATACAAAGAAAATTAAAATATATAGAGAAATAAGAATATTTCAAAATAAATAGAAGTTAAAGCCATTCATGATAACTAAACTAACATTGAAGAAAGTTCTTTTAAAAAAATGACATATACAAGAAAAAAAAAGAAGACAGTCTCAACAGTGAGAACACAGGAAAAAGTACATATCATGAGAGGAACAGATGATCAGAGGACAGCCATGAAAGACTCAATCATGTCAACACGGAAAACCAGAATTGCCAAACATTACCAAGGAAGGTTCAATAGAACTATAAATAATCCAACCAATCAGAACAGCCAGACAATCATGGGAAAGAGGAGACATCTCGTCATTATAACTTTAAATGTAAATGGCATTAATTTGTCAAGGAAAAGATGCTATGTAGTGGATTGGATTAGACAATAAGTTTCAATGATCTACTGTCTCCAAGAAACACACCTGTGTTGCAAAGACATCCAAAAACTGAAAATAAATGGATGGAAATCGTCCTACCAAGCAAAGAGAAGCCGTAAGTAAACTGAAGTCATGATTCTCATTCTTGATGAATCAGAATTCAATACAAAATTAACGATCAGAGATAATGGCATCTTAACTAAGAAAACATAACTACACTATATACTGATTCACTGTACACCAGGACTCTCAGTTTAATAACAAAAGCATTAAAGGCATAAAATGTTACATCCATCCTGAAACAATAATGGTAAGAGACTTGAATATCCCACTTTTAAATTGAGTTTTTTTTTTACTTTAACTGAAAATAAATTTCAGGGCTTAATTATACCAAACATCAACTATTTTAAGAGATATGTATAAAACATAGCGTCTAACATATAAAGATTATGTGTTCATCTAAATGGTACCTAGAACTTTGTATAAAATCAACCACAGTACAGGACACAAAACTAGACTTCATGATTGCAAAACTATTAGAATAATTACTTGTATCTTATCAAACTACAGTGGAATAAAGTTAAAATCATCAAGAGAAAACAAAAAACCTACACAGATACTTGGAGTTTCTAAACTACAATTTTCAGTATGAATAGATCACTAAAAAAAAAAAAAAATTGGATCCTCCTGAAATCAGTAGATCTGTGAAATCCAGCTTGCTCCAATACTGAGGGTACTAAAGGGGACAGTGAACAGTCACAGGGCCAGATGCACCACTCTCTAGAACCTCCCCTGTGGGACAAAACCCAGGGGGCCTTCCCCAACTCCCTTAGCTTTTTAGACAGCAAGCAAGGAGTTTCCTGCAGCTAGGCTCCTCCCCAAAGCATCCAGCCAATATCCAAACTACTAGCTACACCACCCCCATCCCCAACCCGCCTATCCTTCAGCAACCTTGGTGGAACACTGAAACTCAGCTTGCTCCAATACTGAGGGAACTTAAGAGGTGAGTGAACAACCACACAACCAAACATCCTACCCACTCTCTAGGACTTCCCCAGTGGGACAAAACCAGGGTCCCTTTCCCAATTTCCTAAGCCTTTCTAGCCAGCAAACAAAAAGTTTCCTGCAACTAGGCTCCCCCTAAACCCAAACCCATTCACTGGATGCCCCCAAGCTACTAGCCACACCCTGTCTAAGAACTGAGAGCTTGCTATAATACTGAGGGGACCAAGAGCTTGCTACAATACTGAGGGAATTAAGAGGGAGCACCAAGACAGCAAACCACCAGAGAAGACCAAGGGAGCAGGTGTGTGGAAACCTCAAAAGCTTTATGAGACAGATATTGATAGTACAGATCAGACCAAGAAAAACTCCAAGATACTCAGACAGCCACAGAAAGGACTAGACTAAGATGCAAAGACACTGCTGGCCTCATTTGAAGGAAGAGATGAGTAGGGACCGAAGCAAAAATTCCTCCAAAAACCTAAAAAGCAACACCAGAACCCAGTGGTTCCACAACACAAAGAATTGATCATCCTAATCCAGAAAAAGTAGAAG